CATCTAACGCTAAAAAAGAAAGGTTAAAGTGAGGACCATGCAAGGATGCATGAACCGGAATTCACTCCTCAGAAGTAAGGAACTAGGTACCTGGACTCAAGAGATACCAGAAGTTAGGTTAGGATTAGGTTTAGGTTAAGGGAGTCTGAGATGCAAGTTACCCTCTCCGCTGTGCGTGCATTTGTAAACAGCTCACCTAGGCCTTAGACACAGAAACGGAACCTCATCCTCACCTTTGTCTAACTTGTGGATAAGGCACAGCTTAACATTTTCCAACTGCAACACAAATCCTATCCACCCATTTCGTTTGCTCTTTTGACCAGAACCCCACAAATCGTCACACACGTATCACGTGCGCCTCGGCCGCGGGATCAACACGGCCACGCCTCTTTAGTCGTAAAAATTCTCTCTTCCACTAGATTTCCACACATCACCTTCTCTTTTCGCCCTTTTGCAAGGAAAAAGAATTTACCAAAATATCTCTCATCTCATCGGTTGGCCGAACCGGAGCTTGACACATCCCGCCTACAGATAAGGCCCTCGATTCTCCCAGTGCCTTGGCCCCACATTCTCCATCTCGCGATATTTTCAACTTTTTTCTCGCGTCCAGAATGGGGAGGTCTCTCGATGCGGGTCCCATTCATGTCACGCGGCAGCTCGTCTACGTGGAAGGAATCTCAGTGCCCCCGGAGAAATCGGCGTGAAAAGAAAGAGGTTCTCATACTAAATTCTGATTTATACGGACTCTTATCGGACGGCGGACACCTTTAACGTCCGCATAGAAATGTCATACACAGCTGTCAGTTTTTTTTTGCTATATAAACGGCTTTTCTCCTCGCTTACAAACCTCACCCACCGCTCCATCTCGAGAATAGAGACAAAAAGGGTGCGCCGTTAGGGTTCCGTCGCCTCCACGTTCTCCTCCTTAGATCCTTCTTATTTGTTTGTTCATCTAGATCTCATTGTGCTGATCTCGAGATCCGAGTAGATCTTTCAAGCTCTCATTTTCCCCTATTCTTAGCTAATTTTCTTTTCAGTGAAAAAACCTCCGCCGTCTTCTGAAGTTCAGGCGTGGGGAAGTCCGGCGCCGTTGAGGTCGGGCTAGGATTTATCAATTTTCGGTCAGTCCTCCTCACTGCTTCTTTTGAGGGGGTAGCCGGGGCTCGGCCTCGCGGGTTCTAAACCCCCTGCCTTCACAAAAGGAAACCCTAACCTAGATTTCCCATTCTTTCATTCTTTCTTCGATCGGAGAGATGCCGATCCTCGCCTACGCCGATCCCGCCGCCCGCGCCGCCGTCTGGCCTCCGTCATCATCTCTTCCCGCGCCGGATCTCATCTCCGGCGGCGCTCCGACCTCCGCCAGTGGTCCCCCGACCTCTCTGCTGACCTCTACAACGTCCCTGGATGGGGCGCTCCATACTTCTCCGTTAACGGCGCCGGCAACATCGCCGTTAAGCCCTACGGAACTGCCACCCTTCCTCACGAGGAGATCGATCTGATGAAGGTTGTCAAGAAATCCTCGGATCCGAAATCAAAAGGCGGGCTTGGCCTCCGACTCCCGCTCATCGTGCGGTTCCCTGACGTCCTTAAGAACCGCCTCGATTGCCTCCAATCCGCCTTCGATTTCGCGATCCAATCCAACGGCTACGGATCGCGCTACCAGGGAGTCTATCCCGTGAAGTGCAATCAGGACCGTTACATTGTGGAGGACATTGTGGATTTCGGATCTCCGTACCGGTTCGGGCTCGAGGCTGGATCCAAACCCGAACTGCTCTTGGCGATGAGCTGTCTCACCAAGGGCAACCCCGAGGCTCTCCTCGTCTGCAACGGGTACAAGGACGAGGAGTACGTCTCTCTGGCTCTCATCGCCAGGACTCTGGATCTCAACACCGTCATCGTTCTCGAGCAAGAAGAGGAGCTCGACACTGTTATCAGCACCAGCATCAAGCTCGGAGTCCGGCCGGTTATCGGATTCAGGGCGAAGCTCAGAACTAAGCATTCGGGCCATTTCGGATCCACATCCGGTGAAAAGGGCAAATTCGGGCTTACGACGACCCAGATCCTTTCTGTTGCCAACAAGCTTAAGAGGTACCAAATGCTCGATTGCCTTCAACTCCTTCACTTCCATATCGGATCCCAGATCCCGTCCACTGCTCTGTTATCCGATGGAGTCGGCGAGGCCGCTCAGATCTATTGCGAGCTAGTGAAATTGGGCGCCTTAATGGGCGTCATCGACATTGGTGGCGGGTTAGGGATTGATTATGACGGGTCCAAATCAGTTGGATCCGACATGTCGGTTGGTTATGGGCTTGACGAGTATGCAACTGCCGTTGTTCGGTCGGTTCAGTACGTTTGTGACCGGAAGCAGGTTCGTCATCCGATCATATGTAGCGAGAGCGGCCGTGCCCTCATATCTCACCATTCTGTTCTGATTTTCGAGGCAGTGTCATCTGATTCTGTTGATCCTAGATCGATGGGGCCTAATCTCGGCTATGTAATGGAGGGGCTCGCTGAAGAAGCCCGTGCAGAGTATGGGAATCTGAGCTCTGCTGTTGTTCGTGGAGATTACAGTGCTTGTTTAGTTCATGCTGAGCAGCTGAAGATGAAGTGCGTTGAGCTGTTCAAGGACGGGCTGCTGGGTTTGGAGCAGCTCGCGGCTG